AATCCTAGGGCTTGAACTTAGACATACGTGCTTTAGACTCGAGCTTTTTTGCTCTACCACTTGAGCCAAAGCTTGAGTCTGGCTTTTTGGTGGTCAGTCAGAGATAAGAGTCTCACAAACTTTGCTTCCCTAGGCTGGTTTCAAACCCCAGTCCTCAGCTCTCAGCCTCCTGAGTAGCTAGGATTACACCAGTGTGGCTTAAGAAGACTTCTAAAAGCTTAACTTCCAGGTGGGTGCTGAGTGGTTGAGATAGGGCCATAGTAAATTACATAATAGGTAAGGAAAATATCACTAATCCCCAGGACGTGATGAAGATGACTGGAGTTGGAGTTAATGACAATAGACATAGCCTTCCCTTCCTTTTTGACTCTATATAGTGTTGTCCTTCTTAGTCATCTTTCTGGTATTATGATATATTCATTTAGCAAGCATCAACAAATTGTTGTTTACCACATTACTGCAAAGGACACTGAGGAGCTAACAGTAAATTCGCTTAGTTCTTTCTCTTTATAGAACTAAGAGTCTAGAAGCTAAGCCCCGGGCTATAAATCCATCACTCTAATCCTGTTACTTGGGAGGCTGAAAGGGATAGTCAGAGTTCAAGGCCACCCTCCTGTTCTCCCTGTTTCAAAATACAAGAAAAGAGAATGCAAGTTATTACAAGTTTTAATAAGTGCCAGAGCACCTTTTCCAAACTAAATCCATAAAAGTGAAAGGAGTTGTTATGTTTAAAGGAAGAGCACTCCAAGTAGAAAGGTATCATTTGCCAAGTCTGTAGCGTACTTGACAAACTCAAAGCTTGGTTCATAGTCAGGGAGTCAAAAGGATATAAAGTTAAAGATAATGATAAAAGCCAGTTTATGCTGGAAACCATAGTGAAGTGTTAGTATTTTGCTCTAAGAACATTCATACAAAACTAGTTAATCAAACAGCTGTGTGATATGATTTGTTGCTAATGTTGTTTTGAGTGTTGTTGGGTGTTTGTTTTGTTGTTGTTGTTGAGACTGGATTTTACGCTGTATTCCAGCCGGCTTTGAACTTATGATCCTCCTCTTTATCTTCCTGAGTTATATCTGGCTCATGATGTTTGTGTTTTTTTCAAGTTGCTAGAAAAATAGTGGACATAAGAAGCGCACATAAGCCAGGTCCTGGTAGTTCACACCAGTAATCGTAGCTACTCAGGAGGCTAAGCTCTGAAGACCATGTTGACCATGTTTCAGAGACAGCCCAGGCAGAAATGTTCATGCGACTCTCATTTCCAGTAAACTCAGAAAAAGCTGGAAGTGGCGCTGTTGCTCAAGTGGTAGAGTGCTGGCCTTGAACACAGAGAGACTTAGGAATAGTGTGTCCAGACCCTGTGTGCAAGCCCTAGGACTGACAAGAAAAAAAAAAGCTCACTTAAGAAAGCCCACTTGGGGTAGTTGAAGTTGGAGGTAAAGGTGGTTGAAATAGGGCAGTATAAGTGAAGATGAAGAAAAACTCAGACCAAATTAAGTTAGAGATACCTTTAAAATATCAAGGTAAACATTCTAGAATTTAGGTTGAAGATTTAAATTTTTTTATCTATTATTTATTTGCCAGTCTTGGGTCTTGAACTCAGGGCCTGGGCACTGTCCCTGAGCTGCTTTTTGCTCAAAGCTAGCATTGTACCTCTTGAGCCACAGCTTTACTTCTACTTTTTCTGTTTATGTGGTACTGAGGAATCAAATGCAGGGCTTCTTGCAGGCTAGGCAAGTACTCTACTACTAAGCCATATTCCCAGCCCCTGAAGATTTAAATTTCAGGGTGTGTAATTAGATGGTATTTAAGACTATAAGCATAGATAGAGGATAGAGAACCAAATCTTAAGGAATTTCAGTATGTAGAAATTGAATAGAGAGGGGCTGGGGAGGTGGCTCAGTGGTAGAGCGCTTGCCTTGCATGCATGAGGCCCTGGGTTCGATTTCCCCAGCACCACATAAGCAAAAAGAAAAAAGCCGCAAGTGGTGCTGTGGCTCAAGTGGTAGAGCGCTAGCCTTGAGCTAAAAGAGCTGAGGGACAGCGCCCAGGCCCAGAATTCAGGCCCCACGACCAGACCCCCCAAAAAAAATTGAATAGAGGAAGTTAGAAGCCCCCAGGGAAACAGCACATGTCCAAACTTGAATTCCTTGCTTTTCACCAGTAGTCAGTTTCATCTGAAGCTTTTCCCTTTTCAGTTGATGAAAAAACTGCAATCAAGCCTCCATTACTCAAGCCAGATATCTTGAGGTCATCTATGACTACTGGATCTAAGTTGCTCTTGCTCTCTCATACTCATATTTTCACCACATCCAGCCCGTTAGTCAACTGTGCTGGCTCTACCTTCAGTTTACCCAGAATCTGCCACTTATTATCCTGACAAGCACCACCAAATTGTGATCCAGGCCACTACAATCTCTTGCCTACTTCTGTCTATCCCAGCAGCAGCCAGAGAGTAATGTAAGTCATGTCATATTACTTGTCAGATGAAAACTCTAGTTACTCTCCATTTTCCTCCAAGTTAAAGAGGAAAAATAAAAGGCCAAATTTCATTCATAATGATGTCTCTATCTGGCATCCTTACAGAGCTTCATTTCCTACTATACTGTAAAGCCGAATTCAGAAATCCTTACCCAAAAGACCACCAGAGACCGTCACCAATGTAAAAGCAAAGGAGTCTTTATTGCAAGCTCAAGCTTGGTCCCCCGTGTACATGGCAGCAGCCCATGACGCTGAGAGGCCCCAAGCCCAGGGTTACAGCACTTTTTATACATTTTTTAGGGAAGGCAGGGGCTTTGCATACATCATAACTTCTTGTAACAAATGACTACAAACCACAGGAAAATCATAAAACAACTCTATAGTATGATTGGCGCACTACAAAGCGGGAAAGGACCAGAAATGGTTAGATCAAGGGGGCTGACATACTTTAAACTGGTTGGCTTGTACCACAGGGGACTCTCAAGAGGATAGGTGCTAAACTGCAGGGTGTCTGGTTTAGATAATGGTCACCAGACCCCAGGAGGGGCAGTTCTGGAATTTCAGATACCTTGACATACTGTCTTGAGAAAACACCATCTGTGGTTCCGAGAATTGTTTGTGCAAGGCTTGCTGTCCTAATTCCTAGCATTGGGGCTGAAGTGGGTCAAGAGTTAAGTTGCAGAACTGAGATGGGGGTCTTAAGTGAACTGGAGTTGCTTAGGTTCCTCAATACTAAATTCCTTTCTCACTCCATGCTGCCTACTGCTCTCTTTACAGTTAGCTGGTTTGGCTAACTCTCATCTCTTTTCAAGCCTTTGATCCAGTGTGACAATCTCAGAGAGGCCTATGGTGACTGACCTATGCTGGTTACTCTGCCCTGCTCTTCTTTTTCTTGCCATCTGGAAATATTCTTATTTTGTGTATTTATTGCTCATCTTTCTCATCCCTATAGAAGAGAAGTTCCTCAAAAGCAAGAATTTAGTTTGCTGAGTGGTATGGCTTAGAACACCAGAAAATTATATGGCACATAGCTATTATTTCTTGGCCTTTTGCTACATGAATGACTGAAACAAGGACTATCAGTAGAACATACTGCTTTAGAATCTTTGAAGAAAGTGTTTCAGGAAGGAAGAAAATAGGAAAGTTATTAAATTTCACTTGTGTGTCTTCATAAGATACAGACTAGATGTGTTCTTTGGATTTGGCAATATGAAGTGACCTTATTGTAAGTAGTTACAAGAAAAATTCAGAAGTCACTGTGATTGGGAGAGGAGTAAATAGGAGATTTGAACAAACTGTTATTCCCACTCAGAGATGGGAATGTGAGTTCTTAGAGAATAGTTTCTACAAAATGGAAGGAATTTGTAGGTATATGTTGTTACCTAAGAGAGAAGGGACAGATTAATAAAGGAAAGGAAAGTAATGACTGAAAATGTAAGAAAGAGCTACAGTGAAGGTGAGAAATTGAAAATGTACTTTCAACAAAACATAGAATATTAATGTTTTCTAGTCAGCTTCATTAATGTTTTGGGGCTTTTTTGGCTTTGGGGGGGGGTTGGGTCCGGTTGTGGGGCCTGAACTCTGGGCCTGGGCGCTGTCCCTCAGCTCTTCAGCTCAAGGCTAGCGCTCTACCACTTGAGCCACAGCGCCACTTCTGGCTTTTTTCTTTTTGCCTATGTGATGCTGAGGAATCAAACCCAGGGCCTCAGGCATGCAAGGCAAGCACTCTACCACTGAGCCACCTTCCCAGCCCAAGCTTCATTAATGTTTACGCATGATTTTAACTTTAATCATTATGCTCATTATTCCAGTGTGTGTTCTCTAATTCAGTCTGATTCCTGAGTTCAGAAGTCTTGAATCTACTAACTGGGCATTTGATAGCAACATTGTTTGTAAAGATTGGAAATTTTTTTTTTTTGATCGGTCATGGGGCTTGAACTCTGGGCGTGGGCGCTGTCCCTCAGCTCTTCAGCTCTAGGCGTGTGCTCTACCACTTGAGCTACAGCACCACTTCCGGTTTTCTGGTGGTTTATTGGAGATAGGAGTCTCACAGTCTCTCCTGCCCGGGCTGGCTTTGAACCTCGATTCTCAGATCTCAGCCTCCTGAGTAGCTAGGATTACAGGCATGAGCCACCAGCGCCCGGCGGAAAATAATTTTTAAAAATAAGGATCAAGAAATAATTTAAGGACTGAGTGCTAGTGGTTCATGTCTGTAATCCTAGCTCCTCAGGAAGCTGAGATCTGAGGATTGAGGGTCAGAGCCAGCCCAGGCAAGAAAGCTCCAATTAACTACCAGAAAACTAGAAGTGGTGCTGTGGCTCAATGCTAGCCTTGAGCAAAAGAGATAGTACCCAGAGATAGTACCCAGACCCTAAGTTTAAGCCCCATGTTGGACAAAAAGGAAAAATAAAAATAACTCAACTCTGAGAATGGAGCTAGTTAAAACTTTGATATTTCCAGCAAAGAAAACATATATTAAAAGGAGTTTATTTCTAGGAGGTTACTAAATTTTTTGACGAAAGATGCGTATAGTATCTTTTATATATATATATATATATGTATTTTTGTGTGTGTATGTATATGTATATACATACATATAATATATAATTATAATCAGGGGAAATTGGGAATAAAAGTAGAAGTACATCCTTTTCTTCCAGCCTTGTAATTGTTACCAATTCTGTTCACAAGAACCCATCCTAAACACTAAGTCAGTCTTGATTTTGGGCCCTTGTCAGTTATCACATGGATTATGAGATAACTAGTCATCTAAATAAAGTCTTGACCTATCTACTTCAGTCTCCACATTTCATTCATTAATCCACATATCACCAAGATGATCTTTCTAAGAAAGAAAATATTGATGTGTTTTAGTATTGTTTTCAAATGGTAAGAAGTGGTTCAAAAAGATAAAGGTATATTTTCTTTGGGGATTTTGTGAAAAGGAGGAAGAAGATTGTTCACATCAGTTAATTTGAACTATGGGTACAACTATATCAGTCTGATACTTAGTAAACATGGCATAAACATAAATTCAAGTCATAAATAAAATTTTATTGAAATCTGAAAAACACTACTTTGTAAGTTCAAACACTACCTTAGTGTGACATTCAAGGATCTTCCTGATCTACCATCTGCCACTTTGAACATTGTCTGGCTCTGGGCTGTTATGAAGGATTTGCTCTTTCATGCTTCCATCTACATGTGTATTTTGTTTCTTCTGCTTGGACTGCAATGACTTTTCCTTAAATTGTGAGCTTATTGAAATGAGGGACGATACAAATATATTCATTATTGTGGCTGGAAACCTAACTCTCCTTCCCTCCCCTCATCCTCCCAAAAATGTGTGTGTGTGTGTGCACGTGCACGCGCACACACACACACACACAGAGTCTTTTCAGCCCTTTTTAACTTCTTTTCAGTTGCAACCAGTTTCCTACCAAGCTAGAAAGACTAAGTCTTATCCACTCCCGTGCCTGTCATCATAAAAAAGATTGTATGTACACTTGATTCTAAGAATATTACTAAGAATTTTTAGAAGAGTAAAGCATTTTCATTCACCCACACATACCCTTCCATGTTTTAACATACTCTCACTGATAGACACATCCTTCCATGTTTTAACATACCATGAAAATACTTTTCATTTCACAGTAAGCTTTAAAAAGTTATTCAGCCAGGCACGCTCACACTTATAATCCTAGCTACTCAGGAAGCAGGAAGTGGAGCTGTGGCTCAAAGTGGTATAACTGAACTCAGGGCCTTGCACTTGGCTACTCAAGTGCTTATCCACTGAGCTAAGTTCCCAACTTCAAGCTCATCTGATTTGTTTTGTTTTTCTTACTGCTTTCATAGAGGCTGTAAAAATAACAGAAACATTTTATGAGGTAGATGTGGAGAAGAGATTCTAACAAAAGTTAGTTTTGTCACTGCTTTATAAGAGAGTCTTTTTTTGTTGTTGTTGGCTTGAACTCTGGGCCTGGGAACTGACCCTGATGCCCTTCAGCTCAAGGCAAGCATTCTACCACTTGAGCCACAGCACCACTTCCAGTTTTCTGGTGGTTAATTGGAGATACAAGTCTCATGGACTTCCTGCCTAGGCTGGTTTCAGATCTGAGCCTCCTGAGTAGCTAGGATTACAGGTGTGAGCCACCACAGGGCCCAGCAAAGTAGTCATTTATATATGTAAGTCATGTATTTTGAAAAGGTGTATATCTTTAGTATATGTTAAATATATAACACTCTGAATCTGAAATTTAAAATGCAACTAGTGGGAAATATCTGAAGTTTTGAGTTTTTCTATTAATTTTGTGATCTCTTTGAAGTTTAAGTACCAGCACCGACTAAGGCACTAAGGTCCCAAGACTACTAAAGAAAGATTTGGCTTTTATCATTAAAGTTTGTTAGTGGTGTATTTCAGATTACCTTTCTTATTCAAGAATAAACTGTTGAATTTATTGTTTTCCAACCTAGAATGTTTTAGCATGATTTATACTTGGTGATTCTAGTGTATTTTCCTTGGTGAACTTTAAATGTACAATTTGTTTTCTCGTAGGTTTTGGACGGAAAGATGTAGTCGAATATCTACTTCAGAATGGTGCAAATGTCCAAGCACGTGATGACGGGGGCCTTATTCCCCTTCATAATGCATGTTCTTTTGGTCATGCTGAAGTAGTCAATCTCCTTTTGCAACATGGTGCAGACCCAAATGCTCGAGATAATTGGAATTACACTCCTCTCCATGAAGCTGCAATTAAAGGAAAAATTGATGTTTGCATTGGTAAGACTATTTGAATTTCAGAATTTTCCAGATGTTATCATTACTTAATGCAAAATGGTATTACTGATATCAAATTCTGCCAAATTGAACTTAAGTATTTAGGAACACTTCAGATTGGGTGTGGTAGCTCATGATTTGTAATCCTAGCTTCTTGGGAGATAGAGATCAGAATGATCACAGTTGGAGACTAGTCCTGTCAAAAAGTTCATGTGGCTGGGAAGGTGGCTCAGTGGTAGAGTGCTTGCCTGGCATGCATGAGGCCCTGGGTTTGATGCCTCAGCACCACATAAGCAGAAAAAGCCAGAAGTGGCGCTGTGGCTCAAGTGGTAGAGCGCTAGCCTTGAGCTGAATTGCTGAAGGACAGTGCCCAGGCCCAGAGTTCAGGCCCCACGACTGACAAAAAAAAAAAAAAAGTTCAAAAGCTGGGCATATTTGTCATTTCAGCTATGCATGTAGCATAAATAAGCTTAGGGCAGTCCAGCCCAGGCATTATGAAAGCAAAAAGGGCTATGGGTGTGGTTCAAGTGGTAGAGTGCTTGTCTGACGTTCTTGATTTCAAACCTTAGTACTAAGGGTATGGGGGAACTATTCGCTGAATGTACTTTTTATAGTACTAAGTTTAAACTTCTTTGGAGACTAGAGTATACAGTTCCTTTTCTCACGAAACTTGGATTCTCTTGGAAGACAAAATCAGAAAGAACCAAATAAAGACAAGATGGAAGTAAACTGTTGAGTGATACTGGATAAAGATTAGTGAAGTAACTTAGCTGAAGTCAAGTCTCAAGGGGCAACTACATGGAGTCTTTTTAATGAAAGAAAGGTAGGTAGGGAGTTCTTTAAAAGAGTTTTGCATGCTAGATTTAAGAAGCTTTATATAACTTTGTAGGCAGTGTGTACTTTTCAAGATACTTAAAGGGAGCAGTTTTATGAAAATATAGAACATTTTAGAAAGAGTAATCTAGTAGGGAGCTGGGTAAATGGGTGGCATCATAGAGCCTAGTTAGGGCACTGTAAAATATCCATGTGAGAGGGAAATGACCTAGGAATATTCAGATTAGAAATGACAGGTTAAATAAAAAAGCATTTGATGGAAAATTTTTTCCATTATTAGTGTTTAAAATATTTGAGCCCAACAAATGAGAGAGGAAGGAATGGTTTATAGCTTGGTTGGTTTCAGTTTTTACCTACCTACCCTACTCCTTAGACTTGTATACCTTGCTGTTGAATCTCAGTCTGTGTGGTAACAATGAATAGTGAACTTGTACTGATTAATTCTGTTTTTCTTCACACAAAAAAAGATGAAAACTTTACAGAAAGTTTAAGGAAGTTATTTAGTATTTTCATCCTACAGATCTGTCTATGGCTTTAGATACTGCATTTCTGTCTTGACATAGTAGCCTTTCTAGCATATATAGCACTCCTTAGAATGAGAACGATTTTAAGGAAGGATTTTTTTTTCCCCTAATGTACTTTGTTCTGTTTGTTTTGTTTGAGAAAGATTTTCCTAACGTAGGGTCCAACCTGGCCTAGAACTCAGAATGTAGCTCAAGCTTTTCTTAAACTTGAGATTGTCCTTTTTTAGCCTCTACAGAGTTCCAGCTAGCCTCTACAGCGTGCTGCAATTACAAGCATGTGCCCTCAGACCTGCCTCTTTATATACTTGTTTATATGTTCTTAATCACTAGCCACTCACAATATGAATAATCAGGGAATATCTTACATTGAACTAAGGGGAAACTTAATGTGCCTTTAATGCCTTAAATAATGAAATATTATATACATATAAATGTTTATTTACATACAACATACACTTTTTAATCAGGCGTGCACTGCTATACCCAGCTATTTTACATTCTTATACTTAAAATGTAACATTTACCATATTATTAGGATATAAAAACCCTTTAAAGGACTTTGAGATTCTGTAAAAAAAAAATGTGTTTTGTTTTTGTCTGTATGAGGGTTTGAACTCAGAGCCTGAAACTCATGACTTAGCCTTTCCACTCAAAGCTGGCACTGTCCCACTGAGCCACGGTTTTGTTTATGGCTTTTTTCTTGGTTAATTGGAGATAAGAAAGGGGTAGATAAATGAAGAGGAGGTTGTGGGAAGAATGCAGACAAGAATCTAGTATATAGCCTACAAAATTAAGAGTTAGAGAAGGGGTAGGTAAGGTAAAGATGGATAAGAATTTTGAAAGGGGTGACATTGGTTGGTAAAGGTACAGTGTATTCATTCTATTTTGTTAAATGCCAACTACTTTGTACAACTACTTAAAGATAATTTTAAAAATAAAAAGGGATCTCTTGTATTTGTCTGCCCAGGCTAGTTTCAAACTTTGACCATCAGATCTCAACCCCTTGAGTAGCTAGTATTAAAAGCATGACCATTGACACCCAGCTGAACCAGAATTTTGTTTTTTTTTTGGGGGGGGGTCCAGTCGTGGGGCCTGAACTCTGGGCCTGGGTGCTGTCTCTCAGCTCTTCAGCTCAAGGCTAGCGCTCTACCACTTAAGCCACAGCACCTCTTCCGGCTTTTTTCTTTTTGCTTATATGGTGCTGAGGAATCGAACCCAGGGTCTCATGCATGCAAGGCAAGCGCTTTACCATGAGCCACCTTCCCAGACCTGAACCAGAATTTTTTTTTTTGGGGGGGGGGTCCAGTCGAGGGGCCTGAACTCTGGGCCTGGGCACTGTCCCTCAGCTCTTCAGCTCAAGGCTAGCACTCTACCACTTGAGCCACAGCACCACTTC